GCAGGTAAAATATTTCTTACTTCAGGTTCTTCTGATCATGATCATAATGATAATTTATGTTCTAATTTTGTTTTGATATTTTTATGTTCACTTTTTTAGATTCATTTAATAGTTTAACAAGAATATGTTTGTATTATATAATTCATTTGATAATAGACGATCTTTAAGACAACGTGTTAATGAATCATTATGTTGCACTATTAGTAAAATTTTTATTGATTCATTATTTTTCTTATCTGATAATGAATTTTTGTTATTAGAATTAACATTTTGTTTATTATTTATTATTGTTGATAGAATTACAAAAAATAATAGACTATAATTAAGGACTTGATCGTGGTGATGAATAGTGATTTCTATGAATTACCGGTATGTATAATATAACGTTTAACATTATCCGGTTTTTATTTAATCTAATATTTTTCCAGGTTATCATCATGGATCAAGTTCATTAGCTTGAATATTTGATCCATTTGATCAAGATGATATTGGAAATTTAACATGTAAAATTACATAAAAAAAATATACATATATATATATAGTATTTTCATGTTTATTATTTGTTTAGGCCAGCTGACTGATACTAATGTACGAGATATATATATTCAGCAGGTTTTCCTAATATCATTAGTGAGTAAATATGTTAGTAAAAGACTTGATATAAATGAAAGTTTTGAATAATATGAACATGTTATTCTTGAATCATCAACAGAAGATATTGAAGTTAATGAAGGAAATTCTTTTATACTTATTTGTAATACTCAAGGTTTGTTAGTTTTTTATTAAAACTTAATAAATACATGATTAATTTGCTTCAGAATATCTAACATGAAATATAGAATAGAAGAAATCAGATGCACAACTTCTTAGTTCTGATCATATTCGACAAGTCGTATGTTTTTGTTTTCAAAATTATTTATATCGATTCTGGTCCATGATCTACTAGTAAAGAATTATGGACGTTTTAATAAAACTTTTCCTAAGAGCAAGACATTTCCAAAAAATCGAAAACAAAGAATTTTAACCTGAAATTTGGTCTGTAGGTACTTTTGATAGGTAGAGTTTCTGAAACAATCTTGGGAACTTTTTTGGTCTAAAAATACCTGAAATCTTTTTTTTTGGAAGGTTTTCCCCACAGTATAGTATTCTTTTTAGATTGTAGCTTCAATCTTACACATTACTAATGAGGAAAGTCTTCCAACAAATAAATCTCTTTTAAATCGAGACTACGTACATTATAATGAACCAAATGATCTATGAACACTCTGAAAATAGTTCAGATCTTTAGATTATTGCTGTCGAGATATTGCACTTTTGTGCTAGGTTTTAAATGAATACCGTGATTCTCCTCAGCAAAACTGGTTTTAGAATTAGAACTTGCAACATTGCATAGAGACAGTCTTTTAAAAAGAATAGTTTCTTGTGAAAGTTTCATGTCTTTTGCTTTGCTTCTATCGTGACATAAGAAAATGGAATTTGCGGTTATATATGAGCAGTATAAAAGACATATTATTATCATCACTGTATCTTAAGATAGAAGTGTTGACAAGATTTGAAACATTGATAAGAAATTATTCTTGTTAAGACCTGTTTCTATTCAAAGTTTCAAGTCGAAATTTGAAAATCAGTTTTCCTAAGGGGACTACAGCGTTCATTTAAAAACTATAGTGACAATGCAATATATCGGCAGCAATTAGCTGAGAACCTGAACTCTGTTCAAGATATTTATAGCTCATTTGGTTGTATGTAATCTCGACTCAAAAGCTAATTGTCATTTGAGAAACTTTCTTCTTAAGCTCAATTATTTTCTATTTTGATTCCAATCTTAATTATTCATAAGAATATTTATTACATCATATGTCTTGTATGGATTTTCGTTTTACGACTTTATATTTTAGTTCATATATATATTGTCAACATGAAGTTGATTAAGCAACAGATTTTCAAGTTGATGCTTATATGGAATGTTATGTTTCTAGTTATTCTCCACCGAAAATTTTGTAAGATTGAAATATTACAGTTTTTTTTCTATATTAGATAAATTAATATTTTTTTTTTGTTTTTGCTAAGTTGACGTAAAGAACAAAGGGTTGGCTTTCCAAATATGAAATATGATAGAGATATTTGGAATTCACAAAAATATTTAATTGAATTAACAATACCAGAAATGTCAATTTCTACTGATTGTATTCTATCACGTTTAACAATTATTAATGTTGAACAAACTGATTTAAGTTTTTATTATATTAATGCAACATCACCTGGTTTTTCATCTGAATATGGAAGAATTCATCTTTATCGTAGGAAGAATTTTATTATTTATTTAGAAACATCTGATTGTCAACAATTTATTACTCATCGAAATAAAAAAGGATGTAAAAGAATTTGTACTCAAATATCGTCTACTAATAAGATATTTTCAAGATTTGATACATTTTTTTTATCCTGTTTTTATTTATTCGATTATTTTAAGCATTCTATTTGTTAGTTATTCTTCTTCAATAATGTATTTTGTATTCTTGATGTACATGTCAGATAATTCTTCCATACTTGTTTTTTTTTTTTGAAAACAAAAATTCAACAGATTTACGATAAGATATAACAATAAAAGTTGAAATAAATAAAAAAGAAAATCAAGTAGAATAATTGATAATTTACAATTTGTAAAACGTCTTCGATATGTATTGAATACAATGAGATAGTTGTTTCTTTTTTTGAAAAATAATTTTGTATCTGTAATTAAACCATCCATTGATGAATTATCATATTTTTACGATTAATATGACGTTTAAGAATAATTCTCGAGATTAATTTACGAAATTCATTAACAAGAAATACAGATGATATTAAACATGTTAGATAGAATAAATCTAAATAGAATATAAAATGTAGGGTAAGACCTATAAGCTAGTCAAGAATAATTTTATAAGGAAATTATCCCAATTATCACCTGCTGTTTTAGTTCCTATTCGGTTCACAAGAAGATCTCGACAAGACTAAATGAATATATTTCACACTATCACAGAAGACAATTTTGAAAGAAAGCTATTAGACGCAACTTCTGTAAGATTAAAATATGAAACACGATGTAGTTGATCTTGCTAATCATAGGAAGATTATTTTACTCTATCTATGTTGGAACGCATTTCTTGACCATCCTTTTAATTCAATATAATATAACGAGACACTATTGATTTACGATATTTGATCGTTTCTCAACAACATCTGTAGATTTATTTATCTGAAGCACTAAGTGATTCTGTTTCAAATACATATTGTAATGGTGGTAAATAAATAACAGCTAATTGACCAATAATAGAAAGAAATATAGGAACAACAAAAAAATCAATTTCAAAAAAGACCAATTTCAAAAATAAAAAAAATTCTTTTGAATATACATATTTAATTAATTTCAATATTTTACTTGAGATCAACAACTAAGTGCATTAAACATATCAAACAATACAAAACATGTAAATATCATTGTTGTATCTCTCGGTGTTACTTTTCCATCTTTCATCTTAATTTAATAAATATATATATATTGAATTTTTATTAAATCAATTTTTTTAAAACATACTTCACCATAAAAAACACATAAAGTTCCAACAATAATTACAGTAGTACTTATAACTATATGAGCAATTAATCGTTTATCAATCATTTGATCTATAACTTCTCTTGGTGGTTTTTTAATACATCATGATCAAGAGGTTCAACATCACGGCTAAATATTTTCATTGATGAAGATTTTTTGTTCTAATTAAATAAAACAAACCTTTGAGCTGATGGTCCATCCATCATAATATTAATCCAAAGAATTTGCATAACATTTAATGGATTAGGAAAATGAAAAACAGTTGAAAGTGTTATTAAACTTAATGTAGCAATACTCCTTGAAAACAAAACAAAATTAATCAAAATAATTTATCGAATTTAAAACTTACGTGCTCAATTGAAATCGAACAAAATTTTGTATATTATGAAATATTCCTTTACATAATTGTATAAAAATCATCTTTAACAAGAATCATATCAGCTGCTTCTTTAGATACATCAGTACCTATTTGTCCCATAGCTATACCAACATCAGCTGCTTTAAGTGCAACTGCATCATTAACATCATCACCTGTCATACTAACAATATGTCATTCAGCTTGTAATGCCTAGAAACAAAAATTTTAAATTCATTCATTTCAAATCAATCAATCAAATAAATTTACTTCAACAATTGTTAATTTATGTTTGGGACTAGCATGATAGAATACTGATGTTTATGAAACAATATGACGTATATCAGCTGCATTCATATGATCAAGATCTTCACCAGATACAGGTAAATCATTACTTTCATAAATTTAAAAACGTGAAGCTAAAACATCAAAGCACATCAAATTTACTTTTTTTTTGGTTCAAATTAAAATATTTTACCTATTGCTTTTGCTGTTTTCTCAGCATCACCTGTTATCATTTTATATTTAATACCACCTGATTTTAATTGAGCAACAGTTTCTTGAACTTGTGGACGTTGACGATCAATAAATCGAATTATACTAACATATGTTTAAATCTTTAAGTGGAGTTATCATTGCCATGATCAAAACTAAAAAACAAAAGAAACTGTTTGAAAATCATATGAACAGTTTTTTGCACGTTTTGGAAGAAAGGAAGAGTATCTTGACTTTCGGTTCTCTTACAGTATAGAATACTGCCCAATATCTTCCATAAAACTATTACTAATTGTAACTGTAGACAAAAGACTGATCTAGCTAAGAGTTCTTTCGCTCAATTACTTGAGTTTCCCATATATACTGACTCACCATGTACTAGTCACAAAAGTCAAAGTATATCACTCAGTAGTCAGTATGCTACTATCTTGGCGCATTTCTTGAGCATGCTCAGTTATTGCTTTAATATCTTATAATTAAGTCGGCTGACTGCACGAAGTGCAGTCAAAGCCGACTTTTTGCTTTTCACTCGCTTAGTTGCCATGGCAAATTCTTCTTCTTCTTCTTCTTCTCAACACATGAGTCACGATTCAAGTCAGCCACTCGTTCTCAGCTTCTGAGTATCACTTTCAGTCGAAAAAAACCTTGGCGAGATCCTGAGAACGTGACGAGTGCACGTCTGAAATCCGCTTTTCGAAATTCAGCGGTATTCGAGAGATATAAAAGAAACTGAAAATGATAATTAACAACTGGTAGTTTCCTTATATGGTTATACATGACTCAGTCTTAAAACACCATTCATATCTCAAATCTTATGTGCATATATACTTTAATTATCGTCTTGCATACCTGAAGTTCACCCATGAAAGAGTCTCAAAGTTTTTAAAAAATCTCTCCATGGCTTATGCAGATGAGACAATGAACGATAATGAACAGCTGAGAGCTTCCTTATATAGAAATCTACGATTCAGATTCATTATGATTTCCTCTACACAAGTCTTGGGTATAGAAATAGTAGATGTCGTATAGGACCAGGTTTTGATATTTTTCGGGCTCTGCAGTCAGCCGACTTTTCTAGCCGGCCTTGGGCTGGGTAGAGGTCTAGTTCTAAGACTTCTTTCTCAAGTTTTATATTTTTGAATTTCTTCCGAAATCAAATTCTCTGTGAGTTCATATCGTTCTATTCTTGTCTACATACTAGATTTTATCGAAATTAAGAGAGCGTCCATGAGAGCACCGACCATAGCCGGCACCTGTCAAATTTTAGTATTTAGTCGATTTTTTTCTCCATCATAAGTCTGACAAAGTTTGTTCATTTACCATTCGATAGAGGAGACAAAAACCTACAAACAGTTTTATTTTGAGCTTTGTTTGCAACTGTATTAGGTACACTAGGTTATTGCACAATACTATACTGGTGACATCTTAAGAGTAGAGTCGAAAAACACGCAACAATTGATGGTTGGCTATAGCTGTTCGCTTTCTTCGTAGTATAGTAGTTAATACATCATTCTTGAAAAATGACTGCCCAGGTTCAAATCCTGGCGAAATCTAGCGAACGCGCAATCCAGCTTGACCTGTTTTTTTTTATCCGATATAGAACAAGTGGTTGTTTTTTATGTCATTCAATATGCTAATAGTGCGCCTTCTAAAATGTTGTTCGAATCACTCGTAGATCTTCTCGTAAATGATGAAGAGACAACAATTGCAAAACCAAGCCAAATCAAAGATGTTTTTCTTTGATCAGGTTTTCGCATTAATAATTTGATAGACTAAATTGAATTCGAAGTTAAGTAGTCGAGGTATAAACTTAACATAGAGCACCTCGGGGAGTCTTCATATTGAATACTGTAGTCGTGTGCTTCTAATAGTTATTGTTATTTTACTTCTGTTAATTCTGGTTCTTTTCTGATGGATTCTATGCTATTGATCTCAGCATTCATTCTTTTATTCTTTCCGCTGATTAGAGCTGTTGATCTTCCAAAAGACTGCAGAATTCTGCGAAAGTGTCATTTCATTGCTCTTATACATGTTGCTTTTAGGAATAAACTTCAGCTATAAATGTATACATGGTGTGAATAGCAAATGTGGATCAAACATGTGAGGATCCTGAGTAGAATTGAGAATGAATCTTGGTATTAAGAGCTTTTAATTAATTTGAGTCTATCTCCGCGATAGAATATGCTGACATTTTAAAATATTCGTATTACAATTTGATAGACGGCCTCGAGAACTAAGGACATCACTATTTGAACTACTTGAACAACAACTCATTTGAAAGAAATATAAAAGGGGCTCGAAACTTTTGTCCTCCACTTGATACGCTTCACTTCCTATATTTTACATTTATGAAAAACGTGGTGTAAATCATGCATTAAATGAAGAGTAAAAAGAAACAAAAATGAGTTGTCACTCTTCATATTTCGAGTGAGAAGATGCATATTGCATAAATTAAAATAGCAATAAAATATTCTATGATTATTTAATGGCATCTAATGCGTCGACGTATTCGTTATCGTTTAAATCCATTCCGTGGTATACGACTTTTATTTCTTTTAACATGTTGTTTATTTATTTTTGTTCAATATTTATTAATACAATTATTTTATTGGGAAAAAAAATCATCACCATTATTAACTCGTCTTTATCCCGATATGCCAATGACAATAGATCTTCGTTCATATTCAGTTTGTCATCCAAACAAATTATATTTAGATAATATAACTTCATATTATCATCAATATTCAAAACAACAAACATGTTTTCTTATTGAACATCTTGATGGTGGACCATGGTGGTCATATGTTACACATGAATTTGCTGAAATTCTCTCAAATTTAAAAGAAATTGGTATTCAATCAAATATAATTTATCGACCATTTCCTCAGCATATCAAATTTGATTGCAAAACAAATTTGACAAAATATTTTCTAAATGCATGTAATTTAGATGAAAATCTTTATATGCAAAATAAAATTCCAATTGTTATTCTTCTTTGGGATATTAATCAACGTCTATGGAATGAAATGCATTATCAATGGATTTATTTGTTAGAAAAACTTCAAATACGTATTTTAGTTTTTATTGATGATCTTCATTTTACAACAAAAGAAATTTTTTTAAGTCGTCAATATTTATTTCAATATATAGCATCAGAAATATTTTCAACATATCCATATATATTTCATAATTATTATAATAGTATATCTTCATCAAAAATTACTTGGTTACCTCATGCAGCATCATCTTTATCATATCGTTCAATAAATCGATCAGCTGAAAATCTTCTTTTTGTTTCAGGTGCTCATATATATGAATGGTATCCATGTCGTTCACGTGGTTTTCTTCTTTGTCAATCTCGAAAAAATTTAACAGCTTGTTTAAAGCATCCTGGTTATGGTAAAACAATGAAGAATGATAGTGCGTTCTTCTATGGTGGAAGAAGATATTTTTCTTATATGAAACAATATGTATTTGGTTTAGGAACATGTCAATCTGTTCATTATGCAATTGCTAAATTATTTGAATTACCAGCTAATGGTCTTGTACTTGTAACAACAAATGATTTAGTACCAATACTTGAACGACTTAATCTTCATCATAATGAACACTTTTTAACAATTCAATGTTCATCTGTATCTCGATTAATAAACGAAATAATACGTTTACAAAGTATATCAAAAGATAAAATTGATACTATACGAATAAAAAGTCAAGAAGTTGTTTACGAACGTCATATGACTCAGCATCGAGCTCAATTATTACATGTTCGTTTATTAGCTCAAGCATTAATTTCAATGTCTTCATCGGATAAAGAACGAACACAATGGGAACAATGGGGTCGTTATTGTGATCTGTATGAAAAAATTGATTAAATCTGAAATAACAATATTTAGGTGTCAAATTAATCAAATGATTTTTTTTATTACAATTCTTGCCAATATGCATCTTTTTTTTCTATTTATAAATCTGAATCATAATAAATATAAGTACATGTTATTTATCATATTATTATATCTAAACATTTTCCTATAGCGTAGAAGAAACGAAACATAAAAACCCTAAATTTTTCACACGTAACATGATACGAATATATTTGTAAGAATCATGAATTGTGATATCTATCTGAAATAGTTTTTCAAGGAAAAAGATATTTATGGATTGTAATCGTATTGGAAATTCTTCGTTGTAACGAATTAGACTGAGGCAATAGAGCCACTTTGTAACTCATCATTTGGTTAATCTAATAGATTTTCCAGGCTTCATTCGAAGCTTGAAAGATTTCGGATTTTCTCTAGTTTCGAGTACTATATTTAGATAAAGAAGTGTTTTAATTGTTTTCAAAATGTATTCAAATTACCAGATGTCTAAAAAAGTCGCAACTGCTGGCAAGTTTTTCTGGCGTAATTTAAGCAAGACACAAAAACAATACAACAATGTGTCAATTGCTGACGTACAAATTCATCTTCTGAAACAAAGTTCTATAGTAGCTAAAACAGACTACAACAACTAGATGATGATCTATTTTTGATGTCATTCTGTTTGAGCGAGTATATCTCAATTTCGTCATCTGTGACAAAAACAATACAAATCGTAGAAAGAAATTCATTTTATAGAACATGGAATTCTGTATCTTTTAAATCTTGAATCAGTTTCTTTTGAACAACTTCAAGAGAGAAAGTAGCAAT